GCGGCACCTGGGACACAGACAACGTGCAGAAGCTGCGCAACATAGGTTTCTACCAGCAGGTGGCTTGCGCATGCGGCTTGACGCGCACGCACAGTGAGCAGTATCACAAAGATCGGCGACAGCAGCTGCAGCTGCAGCAGCTGCCGCGGTTCCTGCCTCGGCTGTATCCCGACGGCCAGCGGGATGGGCTCATTGATCAGGGGCACGAGTTCGTCACGTACTTGGCCGGAACTCATCCAAACTTCTCTGCGCAGGAAGTGAAGTGGTGCATGCGAGCAGAGAAGTATATGCGGGACCTGCATGAGTCGCTCCAGCGGCTGCTGGAGCGCGCAAGGACGGGAGACTCCAAAGCATGAGCGTAGCGCTGCGCGTGCCGTTTCGGGCCGCGTAGTTGCTGCGCCAGCAAGCAGTGACGACCAGCCGCAACGCTCGCGTGCCGTTTCGGGCCGCGAGCAGCGGCGCACAGACCAAGCTCGCCGGAGAAATAAGGCAGGCTTTTGCGGGGGCGGGGCGGGAGACGGAGCTGGGGAGTTTTTAGCGGCTTCGTGTTGTTCAGCTGGAGCCCCTGGAGCTCACCTCTTTTTGCCTTTGCTGTCCTTAACAGACCTCGGAAGGTCCATTTTGGGAGGTCCTGTGCCCATTTGTTTCTGTGGCTTTTTGAAGGGAAACCACCATTTTGCAGGGCTCGGTGCCCGTTTTTAATTTTTTTGGCTCGAAGGTAAACGGAACCCAACGGAAAACCACTCTGGTCGGGAAACGAGAAGGGGGCACCACCCATTTTGTGAAGTCTGATGCCTGTTTTTTTTTTTTTGGTGGTTGTGAGGGGAAGCCAAAGGAACCCCACCCTAGTAAGGCCTTATTAAGGCCTCATTTGTGGGACACAAGAGGGCTGTGATTGACGGGTGCCGTGTTTTTTTGTTCGCTCAGCAGCTAAACGCCGTCGTTGCTTTTTGAACGGCTCAAAATCAGTTACTACTGTGACTTGGGCTTATGTTTACACACACGCACACCCACACATCACACACGCACACACGCAGCGCAACATCTTGTCACTAAACAGCTGTTTTCCACGGCACAGCAAGTTTGCCACAGCGAGTCACACGGCCATTACGTGTTAGGAGCAGGCTTGGCGTTTCGGCCGGCCGCTCCGCGCCATAGCAGGCAGTCTCCGCGCTTGGCGTTTCGGCCGGCGTTGACATGGCGACTTTCGTGAGCATCAGCGGCGACGCGCTGAATGCGCTGAAGGACGTGTACAGGAGAAACCTAAGCGTGCCCGAGCGCTTGGCTTCGCAGGAATGCGTGGCGTGCACGAAAGCCATAGCCGACGACAGGTGGCAAACAGAGCCAGGCAGACGCGAGCTGGAGCGCACAGGTGTGTGCGAGCGGAGCTGGGACACAATCCATGGGCCCGGCGTGTCGGACACAGCGGCTCAGCGGCAGTGCGATCGTCTGAGCATCAGTGGCGTGGAGACGTGCAGGCAGTGGATCATGTTCAGCAAAGTTCGCGAAGTCGCGCGCATGTCTTCAGAGCACGGACGACTTGCGTGGGAACTCATCTTGGGCCGCAGGCAGCTGCCACCTGCGACGTGATGTCACGCAGGCGTAGTCGTCGCTTGGCGCTTCGGCCGGCGACGCGCGCGACGTGTCAGCACGGATGTTGGCACCGACGGACGCGCTTGGCGCTTCGGCCAGCGTGCCTACGAGCGTGCGGAGCAGAGGGCCCGGAGTAGAAAAGATGGGGCCGCTTTGGTGAGGCTTGCTGTAAGACTTGTTCCTTTTTGCCACATGGTGTCACAGTCACAGGGCTCTGAAGGTTCCTACACCACCGGGGGGGGGGGGAGGAAGCTGTTGCCAGGTAGCTGTCTTGCGATTGTGGTCCGACATGGGTGGCTTGCCAGGTATAGAGTTCGAGAGAGAGAGAGAGAGAGAGAGAGAACAAAAAAAAAAAGAGAAAGAGAGAGAGAGAGAGAGAGCATAAATAGACAGATGCGCAGAACTCTGGAAAGCTGGTTGTGTGACTCGGGGGGTTCACTGCGCTCCGATCGGCTCCAAATCATAGTCACTGTCGTGTCTTGAGCAGGTTCTACACATACACACACACACACACATATACACGCACAACAAGCGCACGCACCCACGCATGCATTTTCGAGTACAACTGCTTTCGGTAGTTGCAGCGCGGCTTGGCGTTTCGGTCGGCCGTGCGATTGCGGGCGCCACGGACCCGCGGCTTGACGCTTCGGTCGGCCGTGTGATTGCGGGCGCCATGGCCTCCGCGGGCCAGCGGCCCATGGTTGTCAGGCCGTCCGAGCTGACGCAGCCTGGACGGCTAGACGGCGCTAAGCGACTGCTTGGACGCCTCGTGGAAGTAGAGCACGTGCCCAACGCCCGCTTCGGGTGCTACCTCGTCTGCGGCCACACGGCTCGCGACGTCATCGCCATCGAGGCGTGGCGCGAGCTGGCCGAACCCGCTGCCTCTCTTTTGAAGGCTTCGTGCGTGGTCAGCCTCACGCAGATCGCGCTGAGCAGGCGGCAGGCCTCGAAAGCCAAGTACACGCACAGCCAGTGCGACCTCTTTGTTCGCTTTGACAAAGGCGCCGGAGTCGAAGAGGAGACCACGCCGCCGCTGGAGCTGCCGGCCGGCATGCCTTGCACGCCCTTGCACCAGGCCGCTTGCTGGAAAGATGGCCTCGTCAATGTTCGCGCAGAAGTCACGGGTGGGTTCTCCCGCGCGACAGACGACAAAGATCGCCTCTTCAAGCTCACTCTGCGCCAGCCCGGCAAAGCCGGCGAGTTCTCCGAGGCGGAAGTGCTCGCGTGGGGTGAGCTAGCGACAGCGGCAGAACAGGTGCCGCGACCGGCCATGATGGAGCTCCGCAATCTGGCGGTGACCAAGCACGCAAAGAACGGCTTCACCTTGAAGTGGCTCAAGCAGACCGCCGCGTGCGCCCTGCCTGCGGTCGAAGCGGAAGAGCTCCGAGCCAACATGGCTGGCCGCGAGCGCTGCAAGACACTATCCCTGCGCGCTGGCGGCGCTGCCGCGCGAGACTACGGCGCCGGACCGGCGACTTTGGTCTCGCTGGCGACGCTCGGCGCTTTTTTGCCGGCGGCCGAAGCGAAGAAGTTCTCTCACGAGGACGTGTGGGAGGCACCGTTCTGCACGCTGGCTCACCTGCAGACCTTGTCCCGGGTGCCGGAAGACTCTTGGCACTACACAGGCTGCGCCACTTGCTTTCGCAAGACTTGCGACAAACACGACGAAGCTGGCGTCCGGCCGTGCTACAGCCTGGAGGCTACTGTGTGGGATCACACGGCCACGCTGGACGCGAGGATCTTTACCAAGTGCGTCGACGAAGTGCTGCGTGCTGCCTTGGCGTTTCGGCCGGGCGACGCGGTACAGTCGCGAGAGAATGCGGAGCACGAGATCCGAGCCCGCAAGTGGGCTGTGCGCTTCGTCGTGGCGCACGACGAAGCGTACTCTGGACCGACTGGCTCTCGCGCCGCGCGCAACACCTTGCAAGTGGTGCATGTTCGCGAGGCTCCGCTTACCTACTCGGGCTCAGCAAAGCCACTCCTGTGCTTGCGCGCGGCCGCCTCACTCCCGGGCTGCCCATGCATCTACTTGTCAGACGCGACCTTGGATGACGCAGGGCAAATTACGGCAGGTGAGGATCTGCCAGTCCAGTATGCGGAACTCTTACTACGAATAACGACCAAAGATCCTGTGCAGGAGTGCAACGAAGCCGAGCGCGGAGTGCGAATCATCTTCGAGTGCGCAGACGCCACGCAGCCAGATATTCGCGCGGACCTCACGTGGGTGGTCAGCGTCAGAGACAGCTTGGCCATCGCGCGACAGCGGCCTGACACGCTGTTGCGGGTGGTTGCAAAGCCTCATGTTCTGTTCGACACGGACGGCGAGCCTTCCTTGCGTCACTGGCAGGTGATCTTCCAGTTTCCGGCTGCGGACGCAGATATCGAGCCGTTTGCCCGCCGTCGGGCGTGGCAGCTTTCCTTGGACTCCCAGCCCAGCCTTAAAATCAAGCGTCTTCAGGAAGACGCCATGGCAATGACTCCGTTGACTAAGGTTGCCAAAGTAAAAGAGGCTTTGACCTCGCCCAGCTTTCGTGCTTGATGACGCGCGTGCCGTTTCGGGCCGCGCGTTCGTGTCGGCGCGTGCCGCGTCGGGCCGCGCGCTCGCGCGGACTGCTGCACCGCTGAAGCAGACGAAGAGAAAAGCCTAGCTTTTGCGCTTGACACGCGTGCGTTTCGGGCCGCGTGCTCTAGCCCAGACTACAGCACGGCTTGGGCAGACGCAAAGAAAAGGCGCTCTCGAGGGGGAGGGAGGAGAGTTGAACTTGAAGCGCTCGTTGGGAGCTTTGGAAAGGGAAAAAAAAAGAAAGAGAAAGAGAGAGAGAAAAAAAGAAAGAGAAAGAGAGAAAAAAAAGAAAGAAAAAGAGAGAGAGAGAGAGAGACAGAGAAACAGAAAGAGAAAGAGAAAGAGAAAGAGAGAAAGAGACAAAGAGAGAAAAAGAGAGAGAGAGAGAAGCAAGGGGCCAAGGACAGTTCTCCAAACTATAGTTGTTCACTGCTTTGAAACTTCCGCCCCCCGGCTCTGCCGGACCTTACTGGTAATATCAATATACTGATAATTGAAATAGGTCAGAAGCAGAACAAACAACATCCACTGGGTCCAGGCCAACCAGCTCTTATTTCTTCGCCTTCCATGCACGCCCCGCTCGAATTCGCTCGAGTCAATGGAAGCGAACTGGAATGAGAACCCGCAAACATGTCGCGCTTGAACATGCACAAACTGGTAGATGGGTATGTGTAATTGAGGGATCCCGTTTTCGAGTTTAAAGGGAAATAAAAGAACAACCACCCATTTTGGTGGTTCCCTTTGTTTGACAAAACCAAGGCCTATCCATCGCGAGCTTCAAAAGGGTGAGACTCTGCCTCCAGCCACGGATCACGAGTTTAATGCATTTCAGCGGACGATTCCAAGAGCGAACGACAATCCAACTGCAACCGAAACCAGCCGGGCGGCTAAAAGGGGGCGACTGCGCAGTGAGACGGGTGAAACTTTTCGCGAGGCGCCGCGGCACGAGGGTCTCCCGCCTGAAGCGAACCAAGCTGAAGCAAAAGGGGGGACATCTAAATGGATAAGCTTCTCTTAAAATGAACTATTGAGTCTGAAACAATCTAAACAAGGGTTTCTCAGAAACGAAACATATCTGTTGGCACCATGTTCAAAATTGAGCAGGGTCAGTTGGTTGCCTTCTTCAGACATCATCAACCACCAGAAGGAATTGAAATGGCAGTGACCTTTGAACCATCGATGAGGGAAACACAAGAAGCCCTGCCAAATTGGGGCCGTTCCAGCCAATCAATCTGCAAAGCTAAAATCATGGACCTCCAAGGGTGGCTATGGGAAAGGGGAGCTATCATCATATCATCAATTATCATTCTCAATTATATCCTTGATAGTATTAGGGGATTGTCTTTGGCTTATCCCGGGAAACCCCCGCCTTGCAGCCCCCTGGCTGCTGCCATAAGACCCGATGCCATGCTGACGATACCTGAAAGGCCCTTCAAGCGGGTTAAACAACATTTTTGTTTGGGCCCCAAAGGGCCTCAAGTCGCCCCAAGATCCACAGATGCATCAGGTTGACCCCAAAAAAGAACGATCCGACCCTCCGAGGTCGGACGATGCCTCGCTGGAAAGGACGAGCATGTTCCCAAAAGCCAAGTCTATCAATCAGCCAATCAGCCAATCAGCCAGCCAGCCAGGTCATTCCTGGTTTCCTGCTGGATCCAACTCGTAGTGGAGCTAGCTATTCAACAGCCTTGGACTGGAGTTTGTCTTATAACCGTCTTTTTGAGCAAGAGACTGAGAGGACAGTAAGGCACCCCGAAAAGTTCAACCCTCAAGGTGTCCCTGTCCTCACATGTTGGCACGAAGGGAGTCTGTGGAGGATCTTGATTGAATTTTACTCGACCGGTGGCTAAACGGCAAGAACTGAAACGCATTCTGTTGATATACGCAGAAACACGCGCATAAACACAGTTTATCAGGGCACATATATTCTGACACCAGGGCCAAACCCGAAACGCAAATGAGCGGCTTGCGGGCATGCTGCAGATTAATTTCCAGATGGAACCCACATCGCATTGGGGAATCGTTTTTGGGAATTGGGCCCCCTTCTTGGGTTCCATGCAACATTTTACATGGGAGCAACTCCATCCCATGCGTATCACCCAAACCCCGCCCTCCCCAGGGCCTCCCGTGCGAGCTTCGAGGGCGAATGAACGAAGGCTCACGCTGGACCGCCCTGACCGGGTGAACGTGTTGGTTGGGATGAGATTCGTGTCTCTCACCAACTCCAGCCTGCACTTACCGTATGGGTATTGATCACTATTCCGTTCGGCCCCAAATGACCATGGGTAATACTTGTCCCATTTAGTGCTGAAAGTCATCTTTTTGGCGGTTTCCCTAATGCTCACCCCATGCAAAGGACATTTGGACCAACCCCCAGATGTCAGACGCCTGAATTAAAGAACCCAGTACAGGACCTTCACAGGTAACCCCAGCACTTACAGGTCCATCTCATCTCGGGCCATCTTTGGATCAGTTTTGCGCGATTCCCAAGTTCTTTTACATCATTATAAACATTGTTTGTATTTGGCGCGTCCTTGGCTTCTTTTCCTCGACGTGAACTCCCAACATGCACCTTGGAATGGAAGCTCCTTGGGGGCACCGCTTTGCTGACTTTGCCAATCCCAAAAGTGGCATGAGAAAATGGAATTCCGCCATCTACGTCATCCAAGATATGTTTTTTTTGCAGAAGGGTGGTTTGCCCCTCCTGCACATCATGATGGAAATGAGAATCGACCCAGTTGCCCAGCGGCCCCCAGCAGACAAAGGAAGCCATTCTCTTGCATTGTTTTCATTTTGTTTGGGGGGGCGGGTGAAAGACCAACCAAATCAGGGGAAATAGGCGCCGCTGCACATCTGGGGCGATGCTTTGCATGCGTTGCTACCTTCGAACATCAGAAAAGTGGCATCTTGAACACCCAAGACCTCCATGCCCGACATCCCGCAAATGCACATGGAAAAAAAAAAAAAAACGAAACGAGAGTCCTCCAAAGGGAGACTTCTCGAATATTTTTGGGGGGCTCCAGGTGGATGTATCTGGACACCAACAACTCTAGGTGGCGTGTTGACCAAAGGACTTGTAAACTGGCGGATTTGAAAGGGGTGACTTTTGGGGTGGAACATCCTCAAAAGAGAATCCGGGGACAGCAGCAGGTAACAGACCACTGGGGATCCACATATTCTCCATACAAGGAGGGGCGGTACGACCGACTCAGGTGAATGACCTCGTCTCCGCCAAAACCGGGTTGAGGTCCCAACCTGTTCTAGAGTTTCAGGGCCCAGCGTCCACTGCTGAAGCGCGCGCTTTACTTCAGACAGGACAACACCCGGCGGGTTGCTCAGGGGTCTATATATATATACCGTAATGGAAACCTGCTCAGAATGTTGCAGCTAAAGACCCTAGGAAGAGTCTCCATTGCAATCAAATCACAGGTCTGTTGACACGAAGAGGAGAGCACCACTTACGGAAGATACTGATTGGTTTAAAGGGAACCGAAGAGGAAAGCAACCACCCAACAAGACAACAAGCCACTCAACCATCCAGCCAACCAACCAGCCAACCAACCATCAACCCCATGTTGGGCTGCCCATGACACGAACCTCCTCCACCCAAGTCCCCCGAGCCGCGCTCGCGCGCTCGCGCCTCCACTCCCGTGCCCTGGGAGGGCAGCAGGCCCTTCTTGTTGGCGATCGTCTCCTCGAGTCGCGATCCGCTTCCCAACCAACTGGGCGCTCCTTTTGACGGGCCCCAAAGATCCAAACCAGCAAATCAAACCACCAAAATAATAAAGGGGAAGCTGAAGATGCGAATCAAGCGACTTAAAACGAAAAACCAAACAGAAAACTAAAGCAGATAGCGACCTACAGAAAACAGAAAAGAACACGAGTGCTACACAAAGGAAGTTCAATCTGCAAGTAAGCCCTGAAAGTAGCTTGCGTCATATTAAAGGTGTTAATTACCCTCAAGAAAGCGAGTCTTGAAATTGGGCGAGCCAGGATTCATAACCCCTGCTTTTAAGGGATATCCTATTCAAGAAGAAATCCTTCATTTTGCAGACCTCCTAATAGTCTAACAATCCCCGACGTTCATGAACCGTGTCAATTCCGCAGGGACTCGAACGACCGCAACCAATATCCCATGTGCATCATCCAAGCTGAAAAGCAGCAAGAGGCAAACAACATACCTAATTTGCAGCGGAACCCACGCGGGAGGGTTAGGCCGCCTGGCGCAGGCAGACGCTACCATTTCCTCCAGGCAGAACCGCCACCATTCTTCGTGCATCAATTTGCGAACATCAGATTGGTGAGCATGATCGAGCATGTAGTTCAGCATGTCTGCCAGGGTAAAAGCATGCTTGCACTTTCAGCCAAAGCTGCCAAGAGGCTGATTCAATACCAGGTATGCCACCAATATGAGTTGTAAGGCAGCATACTATATCCCTTTTGGACGTGGTGGGAAAGCGTCATACCGCCCAAATGCAGCTGAACGTTCCCTCGGCTGGCTGCAAGGCAAGTCTCATCTGCACCGTGCGCGATGAGATAGTCAGAAAGGTGGAGGAAGTTGTACCTGCACAGGGAGGTTGACTGGGTGGTTCTTAGGCATGGGCTTTGCAGCCCTTCTCCAAAAGGAGCACCTCTCTGGGACAACAGTCGGGACCCATCCATACATAATTTCACCTACCGCAAAGGGAACATGACCCATTGGTAGCCCCCTTCCATTGCTCGCTGCCTTTAGAGTCAAACTTTAGAGGGGGTCTTTCAGAAGGGGATGCGCAGAAAAAGACCTCTCGCACTGACTCACGCAGAAACCCAAAGAGGCGCACTGGAAGCAGTAGTGCAAGGGAGTATTGCCCGCCAGGTTCTGGTCATTTACCTGAGCGGTATCGCCAAAGAGCCTGCAACCGGCAAGAAGTTTAACCTGCATGTGTACTACGGGTAGATGGTGGTTCCCTACGAAGCCCGCTCCGCGTTTCCGACATGTGGTCTTGACATGATTGCGAACGTCGGGCAAATGCGACCGGCTCCTGTGGCAAGGGCGTTGCAAAATCATCATATGGCGCTCTGGAACAAGAGGGCCGACGCTGAATCCTGTCCCGACTCGTCTGGAAACTCCGAAGCGGACTTCTGAAGGGAGACACCGAAATAGAGGGGTCCTGAACCCAGGAAGGACCCCCTGATTCCAAAGAACCCAGCGAAAACAGGAACTGGCTTTGCCGCAAGTTTCTTGGAATTCTAAGCTCAGATCCAAAGAGCTCATGGGCCCCGCCTCAAGAGCCGCACCTGACCTCGCCAACCTTTGCTTGCTTAAGGGCTTGTAAACCACATCCCCCGCACTATGGCAGAGGGGCCATGATTTTTTGGGGGCTAGGGTCTCAAGAATCAATTTGGAGAGTCCCAATTGCTGGGTTTGCAAGCCTACCAAGACAAGGTGGCCGAGAGGAAGATGTCCATGCCTTGAGGAAAGCCGTAGATTGGAGTGAAGCCACTCCCCAGCTCCATCACCAGCGATGGCCAATACTAGCTTGGGCAAGTGGATGTGCCATGGTCAGCAAACCCACTGGCAAGAACACAGAGACCCCACGAAACGCACAGCAGCAAGCATAGCGGCCACACTAGGCGGGTTGCTTTCAGAGGGCAATCTTTGTTTGTCGGCTCGAGTCCTTTTCAAAGGGACCAGTGAAAGCCATGAACAAGCGCGCACTTATATAGCCATTCGGTGAAATGATGAGTGTCAATTCAGTTTGGTTGCGTCCGTCGATTTGGTGTATCCAGAAGTACGGAACCTCATAAATACTGACGTTTGAAGGAATCTCTCGCAGACCTGGAGAGGTCACACTCGGAATGTGCCGTCCACTTCCAAGTTTGTCTTGGCTTCCTGTCTACCTTGAAAGTACCTACCTGACCTTTGGGCAAGAGGGTGTCTTTGCACATGAACGGCGTGGGACATGTTCTACTATCTGAGTTGACTTAAACACCCTTAAAGCAAAACCTGAAAATCCCAAAGCTGCCGACGCGTTGGTGTCACTGCAGTTGGCCTTGGAATGAACAAAGACGGGCATGGGCAGTTTGGAGATTCCAAGCCCGCCTCTGAATCCCTCAAACCGCACGTTACTATGGAGAACACGTCAGGAAGTGCTTCCCTGTGGCATCAAAAAACCTCCAAGCCGAGCTGCGTTGATGCCATTCTTCAGCAACAGCTTGGCAATGCGGCGGTGGTCGTTCTGGCCTGGACCCATATCTTCGTTGCAAGGATCGAGCATAAAACAACAAGTTGATTTGAGTTGGACTGATGTTGTATGTTTAAGTCATGGTCAGTGATTTATTTGTTGCCGTCTCTTTGTTTTTTCTAGATAAGCTGTTTAAACTTTAAACTTTAAATCCAACTGTTATGTAAATGTAACATCTTGCAAGTCTCAAACGCTATTGCCAACACATGCTATACTGAATCTAGTACTGCCCCGTCCACATTTAATATAGACACTACGGCTCTGCATTGCGAAAGCATACACCTTCGCACTTGCAATGGCAGCCCGCTGCCAGTGTGGAACCAAATCTTCATTGTTCAGGTCGAGCATTTCTCCGTGATGGCCTGTCGCAGCTTCATTTTCGGACGCCTTTGCATTTTGCGTCTCGAGAATGGTTTGCAGGCCGGCTTCAGCTCCCCGAAATTCTCCGAAAAGCCGAGGCCTGTCTTGTGGAGGTTGTCCAAAGCCCGTGGCGTCCGCTGAGACGCTCGCGCGCATCGACAGCCATGTCGCCTTTGAGGTTCTTGAGTTGGGGCTCGGGCCTTTATGCACCACTTTGAGCTAGGTAGTCGGGGTGTCCCACGCCAAAAAGATTGAATTGGAGAAAATGGACTCGGACTTTCAAAAGACTCTGCTTAAGGGGAACAAACACACTTTTTCAACTGCGACCCCCCTACTAAAGCAGGTCGAACACAGTTTTGCCCCAAGACGCCTTCGTGACGCTGCCGTCTCTTAGGGATGTCATTGCTACGAAAGACTCGAATGGAATTCCACAGCCCCAGTTCCCATACCTCGACTTTCGTGGATTGCCAGGGTGAAGCGAATATCTGAGGCGGCCGCAAGCCACATGGAGCATGTTGTTGCCAAACTCATCCTGAGCGGAATCGGGCATATCCAGCGCTGAGTGGGTATGTGTCACAAAGTGGTTGATTTCGTGGCAGTGGTCTTTGACAACTGGGCCAAACAAGAAATATCCTGGTGCAAGTGACCGGAACACCCATGACAGGCCTTTGGTGCAAGTGACCGGAACCCATTTGCTAGAAGCCCCCTGGCAAAAGGTGTTTAAGTCTTTGGCATCTGAACACTGCGCCGTACCAGCCTTTCGTCATAAACTAGGAAGTTGCTTGGGTTCGCCTTGCGCCGTCATGCAAAAAAACAGTCTTTGTCTCACTCTGGGGTGTACCTTAATTGAGAGATGTGAGATGAGAGACTACCATCCCAGCATTCGTCTTGTGTAGGAGCCAAGGACCCCAACGGTTGCCTTCCTACATTTGAGTGTCTACAAACCCAGAGGGTCCGGGAACACAAGCACTACGAATTGGGGCCTGGGCACGGATGGAAAATCCAAAGGTCGCCAGGTTGGTTTTGGGGCGAAGAACTGACAGCGTGCAGTCAACGGGAATGGACCCACACACAAATGGTAGGTCTCCTGCTGCAATACAAAAACCCCAGGCATCCGCTCTGAGTGCCAAAACTTCCATCTGCCCTGGGTGCCAATCAAAAAAAGACAAAATAAATCGTCAGCGGCCATGACTGGTTTTCGCTTCAACCCATCGGGGAGAAAGGAACAACACACATCCACACGTAGTTTCGCGGAACCCCAACACACATCGGCTCTTGAAGTTGCCTTTTTGAACCAGTGACCCATCTGCAAATTTGCTGCAAAACCATACCATATTTCCCCAAACCTGACCTAAGGAAAATCTCCGCGCCAAACCGCCTCTTTCCCATGGGCTTTTGTGCTTTCCTTCCACCCCGAAATCCGCGTTTTCCGCGGGGCTCAGGGCTCGGGCCAGGGGTCAGTCGGGGAGCTGAGCCCCGGGCCCGGGCTTCCAGGATGCCGCTCTCCTGCTGAATGATCGCCTCGCATCGATAAACGGTCCGTGGGGTGCAGGCGGGGGTGCGAACTCCAGCGCCCGAGGGGGAAAGAAAGGCGGGGATGGGGAGGAAAAAAGAACCGGTTTCCCGAAAAAGGGTTATTTATCCCAATGGAGCTGACCACTCCCAGAAAAAGTGGGTGCCTAGGGTTCCGTGACCCATTGTTACCTTGGTAGTGTTTGGGGAGGGGAAACCATCCTACATCGCCAGACGAGACATGGGATATGGGCCATGAAGATATAGGTTGGCGTCAAAGACCCGATCATCAAAAGGGTAGAGATTTGGCCGGTTGTGGTCATATGTCCAATGTCAAAGGCTCGGCGACTTGTTGCCGTGTCCATGCTGAAGAAGTGGGATATGGGGCATATATAGCCACTACCCTGAGGGAAAGTGTATAAGGTGTTAAATCACTACCCAAAAGGGAAATCGAGCGTTGAACCACTTCCCAAGAAACTATGGGGTATGTAACTTTCTAGATACCTCCCTCCGGCCAACATGGAAGCCACCTTGTACCCAAAAAGAAGCGTCCTCTTTAGCCTGAAGGCAGCTCCACCCGCAACAGAATCCTCATACACGTCCACATGGCCGGGACGGGCTGTTGTACAAGGGGGGGAAACAAGACGACCTCTTGATTCATTCAGTTGACGGCCATGTTATCTAGAAAGCCATGCAAAGGATCGTGACCTGACCACAAACCCCCGTACACGACAAAGCGGCCAGTGTCAATTCAATCAACAAGAATGCACCAGACGCAGGGCTCAACAGGACCCGCAGAGAAGCAAATCAAGCCTGCATACTTGTCCCCTCCTGCTTCACAAGTTTTGGCATTGCTGTCTTTGTCGATCGTGACCAACAGTGCATCTTGTACGCCATTTCAGTTCTGGTACCGCATTTCCACCTTCACTCACGATATTATGGCCTGTTTGGTTGGTTTCAAAGGCAAACTCTCTTTTTCCGCATCCCTTCCCATCACCAGCTTTTCTTAGCCATCAATTGGTGATTGAAGAGAAGAAAGGGAAGGGCCATCATAATTCTGTCTCACTTCTCCTCGCCTGCAATCCTCACTCACACATCTCCTTCATTGTTGATTCTAGAGGCGAGATGAGGGACGAGGCAAGGAGGAAAGAGATGGCCATGATATGGCGCCCACATCTCACGATGAGCTTCTGTGAGTGGCAACAAGTGTCATCTTGCCCCTTCTCTTGGGGCCAGGGCCCGCTTCTCCGGGAGTCCTGATTCCCTCACTTAGGGTCCCTTCAACCCCTTAACGGGGGGTGCAAAAGACATGTCCCTTGTTCATGGAATTTCCACCTTGGGCCCCTGGAGCCCGCGGTCCAAAAGGCAAACCCTGCCCGGCCAACGAGCCCCGCGGCGCGCCTCGATGGCCTCGTAGCGATTGTGCCGCACGAAGGAGAAAGCCACCTGGGCACGCAGAAAACTCGTTGAGCCGAGAAAAACGACACGGTTTGGCAGAAACGGATGCCAGCCGGGTCGCGCCCTCTTTTCTCGTCGGCTACTCGTTTCTTGTTGTTTCTTCTCTTGGGCTTCAAATGGAACCACTGGTAGCGGAATGTACAGCAGCCGCATGTGCTCTTGTGCTTCTTGCGTGCATGCCCTCGTGCTACTTGCCGTGCGTGTGCTGGCATGCTGTTTGGTGCTCTTGCGGTACCTGCCTTGGATGTGCTCTCGTGCAACTTGCTCTGCATGTGCTCTTGCGATATCTGCTTTGCATGTGCTTTGGAGCTACTTGCTCTGCATGTGCTCTAGTGCATCTTGCTTTGCACGTGCTGTGTGCTGCGCGGTTGGGCTGGTGAACTTACCGGAAGACCCCTTCACACTGCTTCCGGGAAACAAATGCGCCACAAATGCAAGGAAATGCAAGGACCGCGAAGAGTTCAAGGGCTCCAGTGGTTGACTCATGGGTCTAAATTTTGATAGGGAACCCTTTGGTGGACATCATCCAGGGTGGGATTCTTGTCCACCAACCACGTATGGGGTGATTGCCTACTAAAGTTCATAGCCACATGTCAGCGATTCTCAGGGCATAACACGTGGCCATTCGGCCTACGCCGACCGCTGCTAGGCGCCCATGCGTTGTCGTGCTTCTCGAAATCCGCAAACTCGTCGTCCTCGATGAGCTCGCCTTCCTGGAACGCCCGAGGGGCATTGACCAGAGCACACGGAAGCGGAGCACCGAACTTTAGGATTGAGCAGAACTCTCAGGTTGACTTCGATTGAGGGTGTCCAATTTGAATGGGTGTCCTTTTTCACTTTCGGGAACCCACGGCTCCCTCTCTGAACTTGCAACATGGCTCCCGCAGGCAGCCGCTAAACGAAAGCAGGATATGCTCCGGGTGCAACTGAGACTTTATGGGTATGAGTCAAAATAGAATCACCAGGGGACCGCAGGATTTAGTCCCAGGGTTCCATTTTGGGTACGCATTTTTGACCCACGGCCATATATAGTCTCACTTGCCCAGTTTGGACCCAGAGATACAAGGTGATCACCTTTGGGAACCTTGACTAAACATGGACCAAAATCGGAAAACCAAAAGGACAAATGAGTACATTGCAGGCGTGGGTTGAAAAGAGTGTAGCAAATACCTTCCTCCAATTTCGCCCAAATTGGGAACTCGTCTAGATTCGGGTTCCAAAGGAAACATACCGTGGATTGGGCACTGCCAATTTTGCACACACTCAAATTGGGACGACCCCAAGGATCCACTAAAGAACCAACTTGCTTGACTTGTGGAAATCTTGGCCCACGTCTGGCATACACGGAAAATACTACTTTCAGACTGTGGTTAATATTCAGTCTATTATGTATATATGCACACATATATACGTATATACATAAGTTTGTGTTCGGATGGTTTCTGCAAAGAACAGAGTCTAGATAAGAAACTTGCAGGTACATTCCCTGAGCTCCTTCTAACCAAGACCATGTCGAAGATCGGCGCGCCCTGTCCGCAAAACATGCTTTGCGGATGTGAAAACAACAACGATCTTGAAAATGATACCTGGAAGTCAAAAACCTCGAAAAGAGAAGTCTGCCATAACTGGGTGCTACATAGAGGGTTGAACAGATCAACAGAATGTACATTTGCCTTTGGCTTCCTTTCGGGGAATCGGCAGGGACGTAGTGTGTAGATTGCGGGACGTTGGGTGTCGGGCGTGCACTCATGGAGTCTGTGGTGCTGTACTGAGGTCTGGTACGTCTTGCGAGTGGGGTATGAGGCGTGGCCCGCATCAAGCTTCGTCTTGTGGTGGTGGCGGTGGCAATGGCGGTGGGGGTGGCGGGGGCGACAGCGGCGGTGGGGGTGGGGAAAGCCAAGTTTGTCAATGTGTGTGTGTGTGTGTGGCAAACCTCTTAAAGGGGGGGGTGGTTCTCCTTTGGTTTCCGTTCAAGACTAAACTGGGGTATCAACTCAAACAGGTTCCCAAGGGCACCCTCAGTCAAATGCCCTTTAGCCCTTGGCCGTGGTTAAACCATGGCTTCAAGGGCCTTTGGCCTAAACATCAGCTTCTCCGACAAGAACAACCGATGGCGAATTTTCTTGAAGCTGGTCATTGTAGCAAAAGTCGTAAAGTCGGCAAAGGTAGAGTTCCTGCAAAAGCTATAAAGCTGGCACCCATTCTTTTCAAAGCCCCACGAAGTCCGCCGAAGTCCGAACGTTGCCCGCTCCTCGTTGTAGGTGGCCGCCTTGGGCGGCACCACCAAGTTGGGCCTCACACGGATCGAGGCAGAGCTCCAGTCTCCAGTTGGCCCAAAGTGGTTGACCCGTGTGGACAGTAGAACCTTTCCTGTTGATTGGTGGCTTCCAAAAGTGATGGGTCCCCAAACCCCCGTTGAGCCTGGATTTAAGTACGTCCTACTAACAGGGGGTGCTCCAAAGGTGACGGGTCCCCACCAAAATGGCACACCACCCTATTGGTCAATAAAGGGTTCTATAGTAAGTAATCCGGGGTTCCCGTTGGTCTTTGCCCTCTAGGGACAAGGGCACCCTGTTTAAGGGGTTGAAGGGACACCCCCCACAGGGGCACGGGAGGCTTCTTGGTGTGCAAAGATAGGTTGAACGGCCCACGGCAAGCTTTCTCTTGGGCCCTTACTCAGTGAGGCAAACAATGAAAGGGTAAACTCTCCAGCAACACCCCAACACCATTGGCAACAATTCAAGCTGCACAAGTCTGTTTGTGATTGCAGTTCCCACTGGAAATTGACAAAACCAACAAAGCAAAACAATGCAAAACACGTCCCACACATACAGCCAGACTGTGAATTTGCAGTTCGCCATCTCCACAGAGGTTCCTTTTGACTTCCTGCTTGCAGCGCAAAACTGGAGACCCTCAACATGTCGAAACCCTGGTCCCCTTTGTTTTCTAAACAAAAAGCGTCAAAAAGCAAACCCCTGTGGCCTGTAGCGGTCGAAATCCTCTTTGCAGGGGGTCCAAAAAAGCTCCAAAAGCTCCGAAGACTCGCCTGTTGGCACCCATGACCAAGCTGATGTCCGGGTTCATCATGTCGCCCGTGTACGGAACTGCAGCCTGAGGCATTCGACATTTTGGTTCGCGAATGGGAATAACAGTCCACACACCCGCAACATGGGTGCTGAACATTGTCATTCTACCGAACTTGGCCATCCCTGTGACTACTTTGTCACTTTCAAGAGGGTTAAAGTCGAAAACAAAAATGAAAAAAATGGCCCGAGAACCCTGCAGGATCACAATCATGACCCGCAAAGACGGGTACCCAATATGACCTACACAAGAATTAATATTCATCCTGGTTGCAAGGTCGCAACCCACTCTTTGGAAGGCTGTGAATTGCCCAAGTGAGTGCTTCTCAAAAAAAAGGCTTCAAACAATGTGTGTGTGTTTTTTTTTGTTTTTTTTAATACAGGTGTTTCTCTAAGTAACAACCAAAGGGGCTCCCGATGCTAGGACACTTCCACATCCTTGCAACCAAACACATTCTGCGGTTCCCTAGTAACTTGAAACGTTGTCCATACTAGAAAGGGGGGTGGATCCACAAAAGCCGCATCCCAAGCTGCTTCCCTTCTTTTGGGGTGTCAATGGGTGATGGGGGCCTCCCGCCACACGACCCACAAGCCTTCAGGTGAAGAAGCCAACTCTTCTTGTACGAAGCTTCAACATCCTCCAGAACCAAAACGTGGATTCGTCAAACATGGCAAGTCTAGAGAAACAGATCTAAGGGAATCCAGTCATATCATATCGAGGTAGCGGTGTCCCGATTGTTCACGCCAATTCCGTAAAACAAAAAACAAAAAGTATTCTTGGAAGCTACAACCGTTTCCCCAACACGCAGTCCGGACTTGCTCTTGCCACAACGGCGTCCAGGCTCAGCCAAATGTCCAAAGTTTCTGGTAGGTGAAACTGAGCTTCAAAGCAGTCCTAGGTCCTCCAGCTGGAGGATAGAATAAGGGTACCCTTTTTTATGTTGTCTATTTTAGTAGGGGAACCCTCCCCCAAAAAAGGGTAAAAGGGCACGACTGGGGGACCTAGAGTCTCGTTTCGAGTCTCAACGAACACCAAGACACGCACTCCGCGCCGTGCTGCAACCTGATCTCCGGCCGGCCTTCTTGGCTGAAGCCGCGTCCGGATGCACCAGAAGCCTGACGTAGCACTCCCCCCGCATCTTCTCCTGGCAAATAGTTTCGGGCCGAGCGGCCTGAGTTGAGGCCGTTGGGTGTGCTGGTTGGAAGATGGCGCAGTTTGGTGTAGTCATCCCCTCTGCCAGATACAGGGAATGGGAACTGCCATCTACTTCAATCCTATATAAGCTTGAGTCGGGCTGTGAAAATCCATGATGAAAGCCCACTGTTTTATAAAGGCGTGAAGTACCGGCTACTAACCCTGAAACAAACAAAATACGAGCCGGGACACTTTTCTTCTTGGGGATGAACAGTTGCAGCAGGCAACGCTTCAGAGACAATGGGTGCTAACAACCGGGTGACCTAGGTTTACGAATCGCGCTCAGTTTACTGCCTCCTGAAGTACTGGTTGAACACAGTGCTGCTCCAAAATCCCTGGCGCGAGGGCGCCACAAATTCCGCCATTGGAAGGTGGGAAACCACACCCAGCGTAGCCTGGTAGCAGTTTCGAGTTGGGTGTCGTTTTCTTGGCCTGTTGGATTTGTGTTGAACCGATAGCCCCCTTTGAGTACCAAGCAGCCAGAGAAAAAGGTTGCTAGCCCGATAAGGGTTATGAGCCCAAAGACGTAGCTCCTCTGGCCGTGCAATGGATGCTGGCATGCGGAGGAGGCGAGCCCGCAGCGTGGATGCCGGGATGGGCATCATGGTGGCGGAGGCCGAGGGCGAGCTGGAGGAGGGGCACTGGGGAAGAAGCACAAGGGCGACGGGTGGATGTAAACCCGTTCTGGAGTCAACGCGCGCGAGATGAAGCGGCGCTGAGGGCGAGCCGACCGAGTGGGCTGCCTCCGGTGCCGGGGACAGATGAGAAGCTGGGTGGAGAAGAAGATCTTCATGAAGAACCTGGCCCGGATGGTGGACTGCTCGGAAGGGATGATCGTCAGAACGGTGAGCACCCTGAGGCGGTTTCCAGCCGGGCGAATGAGGAGTTCTGGAGCGACGTGAAGAGGGACCTCTTGGCTGACCTTGAGGGAGCGTCCGTCGCACCTGGTGGAGGCGTTCCTCGCCCGGATGATGTCCGTGAACCCGGGCTGGACGACCGAGATCGGCGACCTGGAGGGGGTCGTGGGAACGAAGGTGGAGGGCTACCACATGGGAATGATGGTGGACTTCAACGAGGAGATGATGGTCGGCTTGGTGAAAGCCGTGGAGAGCCCAGTAGAGGCGTGGAGGGATATGGATCCATGCGCGGCAGACCGATGGGGCGAGAAGGTGATCTTCGTGGGCCTCGGATGGTGGATGCCCGAGCACTATGGCAAGGTGCAGAACGTGATGGGCAAGGAGATCAGCAGGCCCGTCGGCCAGGTGATGAACATGGTGGTCGAAGAGATCAACAAGAGCGTCGTCCTGGAGGAGAACGAGACGGGCAAGGTGATCGACGAGCCGGACAGCCTGGTGAAGGGGAAGGAGAGCGGCCGGTCCCGAGGCCGAGTGATGGGAGAAGGCTACAACAGGGACCTGAGCATCGGCAAGATCAGGTTGGGCGAGGCCGAGAACAACGAGAAGTTGAAGAAGGTTGGGATGCGGCAGTAAGGAGGTCCGGGATCCTTGGCGGAGGTCAAGAATATGCTGGTGCTGCCGGAAGCAGTGGAGAGGAAGCCAGGAGGTGGACCTGGGGTGGCCGCGGTCTGGACCTGGATTGGGCTTGGCATGATGAGCTCAAGGTGTGGATTCCGGAGAAGGCCCAACGCCCAAACGATGAGGAAGAGCTGATTGGCGAGATGGACCTGTTTGAGGATATGGAGAGAAACTACGGCCGGGCGTGCAAGAAGCTGGTCGGCATGGAGAAGCAGCGGGAGTACCTCTTCGGCATGATCAAAGAGCTGAGAGGAGAGGTCAGAAAGGCCCAGGAGAAGGCGAAGTTCTGGAAGGAACAGTATGAACAAGCGGTTCGAGAGAGGAATGTGGAACCGGAAAGGTTTGAGACGCCGGTGGAAGAGATGTTTGTCACTCCAATGGCACAAGCGATGGTTCCACAGACTGTGCCCCCGGTACCACCGCCACCGCCACCGCCGCCGAGGCCGGTGGAAGTTCTTGCAGCGAGGACGGCCAGTACCCCGAGAGCAAGGACCAGGTCGCCGGCATGGAGGTGCACCCCGGGTGGAACTCAGGTGCCGGAAGGAGAACCGCCGAGGACGGAAGATGCTGACTCAGGCTGGGAGGCGAGGTGGGATCAGCAACCACGTGGAGGATGGTACAGGAACTGGAGCGGCTTGTGGGGCTCCTGGGACGACTGGGATCAGAACACAAAGGAGGAGGCGAAGCCGCTGGACCAGATCGAGACGGGAGGAGCAGGGGCGAAAGTGGAACTGCCGGAGCTGGCGTATGATCATTCTCCATTGACGTTGGGGGATTGGTTCGCTGTGGTGGGTCCCCAGATGCAGGATCTTTCTCAAGGAGCGGCTGAGTGGTGGATGGGCACAATGGAAGAGGCAAAGAAGCTCTACGAGGTTTGGCTGAGGAGCACTCCCCTGGACCGGCTCAAGATCACGGTCGGGATCCCGGAGGCTCTCAGAACCGCCAGGTTCGTGCGGACGGAGCAGCGCGGGGTCACCATGCTGCTGCGGGCAATTCCGGAGGAGATCCGCAAGGAGTTGATCTCGGCAAGGGACATCAGCAGCACGGGTGTGCTGTACAGGCTGTTGGTGACTTATCAGCCTGGTGGTCCTGGAGAACGGTCCTTGATCCTCAGGAAGCTCACGGACTTGGGCCAGATGAGGACGGTTGCAGAAGCAGCGGTCGCTTTGAGAGAATGGAGGAGGTACTACCTGAGAGCGCAGGAGATTGGGGCCTCGCTTCCAGATCCTACGCTTCTAGCTGCTGCATTGGAGAAGGTGACGCAGCTGGTGAATCGTGGAGGGCCGCAAGCTTTTCGGGTTGCCCAAGCGCGGACACAGTTGGGGCTAGACACCACGCCCACGGTGCAAAGCATTTGGAACTACTCCGAGTTGCTGCTCGCGGAGATGGATACGGCGAGGTTGATGACGGTGGAACCGGCCAAGGTAAAGGCAATGGCCACGGGCACCATAGCGGACAGGCCTGCTCCGGACCATGCGAAAAAGGAGACGGGTACGGCGGTGTGCAGGTACTTTGGGTCGGAGCATGGATGTCGCTTGGGAAAAGGGTGCAAGTGGAATCACGAGTCGGAGATCGGAATGTGCGGTGCTGGATCTGTGGGTCAAAGCAGCACCGACGACCGGATTGTCCGGTGAAAGGTGGAGGAAAGGGCCAGCCAGCGAAGCCGGTGGTCAAAGCTGCAGTGCACGAGCCGAGAGACGGCTCGGGGGGAGGTGGTGCAGCTGGTAGTGGTGGAAGCGGTCCTGCAGGAGCAAGCGCAGGAGCGAGTGGGTGGAATGCAGGAGGATCTGAAAAGATCGAGAAAGCGGAGGTGGAGGCCACGGCATGGACGGCGACATCTACAGGTGGTGGAACGGGGGAGCTGTTGGCGGAAGCAACACAGCTTCTTAGGTCCATGAGGGCTCCATCCGCGAAGGCAATGGTGGTGATCAAGGAGATGAACACGGTAGTCATCAACAAGGGCCTGCTAGACGGGGGAGCAACTCATGCACTGCGGAAGTGTAAGGACCTGGAGGAGTGGGAAGCCGCAACGCCGACGAAGGTGATCCTGGCGGAAGGAACCACTTCGAAGATGAGGTTGAAGGAGGGAACCCTCACGCTGATCACGCAGGAGGACATCCAGCCGATCGTGCCCATGGGCGTCCTTACCATGATGGGGTACGAGGTGGAGTGGAAGCAGGGACACTGCAAGGTTCGGCGGAGGGGCAAAGGCCTGGAGGTGGAGATGATAGACAGTTGCCCAATGGTGGAGGCCGAGATTGCATTGGGCCTCATCGAAGAGATGGAACTCATGGAAGAGAATCATATGCTGCGGTTGGCGGCGATGAAGATGCCGATGGAGCAGTTGAAGGACAGACCGGAGCTGGCCATGACCAAGGCACTGAAAGAGTTCTTCCCGGGGGTGCCGGATGAGATCATGAGCCGGGTGATGCCCAGCATGGAGGTGGATGGGGACGAGCTGCCCTGGAATAGGAGAAGGAGGCGGACGTTCGAACGGGCAGAGCACCTCATTATTCACTTGTTTGCGGGTGCGAATGAGAAGGAGTGGATGGATGGCCTTGAAGGTCGGGGAGTCGTGGTGATGTGTGTGGACACGGCCATCGACCCGGGCCAGGACCTTCACAGGCCGCAGGTGTTTGCGTACTTGCTGAAGTTGGCCAGGACGGGCAAGGTCAAGGCGATCCTGGGCGGCCCGCCGTGCAGGACGGTCTCGGCCTGCAGAACGAGGAGCCCTGGGCCCAGGCCGGTGAGGTCGGTGGAAGAGCCCTACGGCAAGAAGGGGCTGAACCTGTACGAGAAGGAGCTGGTCGAGGGGGACGCGGTGCTGTGGTTAAGGATGCTCACATTGCACGTGGTGGCGCAGGCATCGGCGGAGGACAAGGTGCTGTTCGTTAAGGAGCAGCCACGGGATCCTGGAGAGTACCGGGATGATGGCAACCCGGACTATGTCAGCGTGTGGAGGTTTCAGGAATGGAAGACCTTTGAGCAGAAGTACGGTATGCACCTGGTTCGATGTGACCAAGGAGCACTGGGCCATCGGAGGCGGAAACCAACAACGATTGGTGTAAATGCGCCGTACCTGGACCATCTAGATGGACTGGGGGGCCCAGGCACGGGGGAGGAGGAATGGACTGGAAGCCTTGAGGAGCGGATCCAGCAGACGAAATCATGGGCGTGTTGGGCGCCGGGTTTGAAGACGGAGATCATGAAAGCGGTGAGGATGCATTTGAAGATGCAGCCGCAGCTGAGGCCGGTGCGTGTGGACGAGCTGCAGAGATGGAAGACGCACTTCCTCAACGACCACATGCCGGCGAGAAGGGATTGCAAAACGTGCGTCCAAGCCCAGGGACGGGGGAGACCGCACGTGAGAGTCACTCACCCGGATGCATACACCTTGGCGGTGGACCTCTCCGGG